CAAAGTCAGACGCTTAACCGACTGAGCCACCCAGGAGCCCCTAAAAATTTTTTTTTCAGTTTATTGATTTATCTTGAGAGAGAGCAAGAGCGCACACAAGCAGGGGAGGGGCAGAGAGAAGGAGAGACAGAACCCCGAACAGGCTCCGCGCCATCAGCTCAGACAGAGCCCAATGCGGGGCTCAAACTCACAAACTGTGAGATCATGACCCAAGCCCAGATCAAGAGTTGGACACTTAAGCGACTGCGCCACCCAGGCGTCCTGCATTGAGGCTTATTAAATTGCTGTAATTTGGGAGGTTGCCTGTTTGTGCTTTTTGAATTTTCTCATTCTTTGTGAACATTATGTTTTTCTCCCTGTTCATGTGTCTGTTTTGTAGACATAAGCAAAATCCATAGGGGGTTCAACTTATATTGGGTCGAACCGCCTGAAATTGTGTGGTGGGTTCAGAAATGGGAGGGGTACGGAAATGTATCTTTCAGCCTCCTGGTTTCTTTTTTGTGGTCTCTGGTCATTTTTACTTTTTTTCCCTAGATATATTTTCCCTTTCTAGAGACAGAAAGTAGGTATCAAAAGAAGGTTATTTCTGAACAAATTCTAAATCATGAGTGACAGAAATAGTTACTCTCAAACCAAGCTCCCTTTTGCTGGGACCTGCTTCCCGGTCCGCAACCTTCTGTTCTGCGTCCCTGCCCCACCAGGAACCTCTGTCCCTGCGCCCTCCTGGCAGACAACCCCCTCCAGGGATCTTGCCTTATGAGATCTTCAGCTTTCTTTGGCCGATGAATTCTTCCTCTTACTCCTGGTTTGCTTTTACAAAACATTGTGCTTGAGGTTGTTCTGGAGGAATCCCTAGGAGCACTGTCTCTCTCTTATCCCAGGCTCAGGGTGGTGGTTCATTTTCAAGGCGGCTGTGAAGAAAGGTGGTCTCCTTCTTTGGTCATTTAATTGCTGCCTGACTTCAAGTGGTGCTCGGGCCAGGCCACTCCTGGGACATAGATGGTCTCTGTCCTTATTCCGTTCTTGCCCTCTCTTACCCTCTGAAGCCAGAAAATCTGTAAAATTGCAGTCCTTTTCCATCGGCTTCCCTTGGCTCAGACAGATCTCGTCAGAAATTTCCAGGGCTTTTGGCGCGCCTTGGGTGGCTCAGTCGATTGAGCATCTGACTTCAACTCCGGTCATGATCTCGCAGTTTGTGATTTCGAGCCCCGTGTCAGGCTCTGTGCTGACAGTTCGGAGCCTGGAGCCTGCTTCGGATTCTGTGTCTCCCTCTCTCTGCCCCTTCCCTGCTCGTGCTCTCTCTCTTGTTTCTCAGAAATGAATAAACGTTAAAAATAAAAAAATAAAAAGTAAAAAAAAGAAAGAAAGAAATTTCCAGGACGTTTCATTATTTGCTCCCACTGGACAGGTAGGGGCTCAGTCGTTCCTGCCCGGGCTCCCAGGATTCACAGCTCTTTGGATGTGTCCCCACACAGGGAGGAGTGGATGCGGGCCATTCAGATGGTCGCCAACAGCCTTAAGCAGCGGGGCCCAGGTGAGGACCCCATGGACTATAAGTGTGGCTCCCCCAGTGACCCTTCTGCGGCCGAGGAGATGGAAGTGGCAGTTAGCAAGGCTCGGGCCAAGGTGGTAAGTGCTGGGGGGCCGGTGGCCAGGCTGTGAGTACCCCTCCCCGCACAACACTGGCCCTGCCTCCCCTGGTTTCCACACGGTGTGTGCAAAAGCGTAGCCGGGGATGTGTCCTGACTGCCCTGTGGGATGGGCATACATGGGTGCACTTGGGGTGAGGGGCAGCCACATCACGGGAGGTTGTGAAGACCTGTCTGCCCCCACATCCAAACCTCCCGGGGCCCCCTGCCTGGGAGAGCCAGGCTGAAGGCCACTTCAGAGCGAATAGTCACTGCCCAGAGCCTCCCTTCCTGCTCCCGCCAGAGCGTTTTGGCAACAGCGTCCTTCGATGTTTCCTTTCTCTTTGTTAAAATGTCTTCCCGTGGGCCACGTGCCAAGCACCGACTGCCCCACTCTCTCTCCCTCCTGGGCAGACCATGAATGACTTCGACTATCTCAAACTTCTGGGCAAGGGCACCTTTGGCAAAGTGATTCTGGTGCGGGAGAAAGCCAGCGGCCGCTACTACGCCATGAAGATCCTGCGGAAGGAAGTTATCATTGCCAAGGTGGGCGCTCCCGGGGCTACTTCTGGCTGGGCTCTGTGGTGGGGAGTGCGCACTGGGCAGCACGCTCGCCTGTGCCTTTGGGGAGCCTGAGGCCCACCCCACCCCACCTTCTGGGCACCTGGAGGACTAAGGTGGGGAGTGTGACAGGGCTTCACCCCGCAGGCGTCATCAGGGCCTGCAGGCAGGTCTTTGGGGCATGAAGGGCTTGTGGGGAGGCCCTGAGGGTCGGGGCTTGGCTCAGGGCCTCTCACTAGGAGGCTGGGCCAGAATGGAATTCTCTTCTTTTTTTTTTTCCTTCTTTAAATAAGTTTTTAAAATGGAAAATTCCTGACATGCACAAAATGTTTAAAAGAAAAATAAATACTGTGGACTCCCATGTAGCCAGCATCCAGCTTCCACAATTGTCAACATTTGGCCCATCTTGTTTTATTAGCTCTGCCCTCCTTTTTGTTCTGGAGTATCTTAAAGGCATGTTCTAGATGTCATATGGTTTCACCCAGAGATACTTAGGTATGTGTCTTTAACAGATGAAGATCATAAAGACTATAATGGAACAACAATCCCACCCCAGCAAAACGAACAGCCCCCTATGTGCCTGGTCCAAGGCAGGCTTCCACAGCCTCGGCACTGTTGGCATTTGGGGCCAGATCATTCTCTGCTGTGGGGCTGTCCTGTGTACTGTAGGATGAGTCGCCACACCCTGGCCTTCACCCCTAAGGCCAGTAGCACCCCCCCCCCCACAGTTGTGACAATCAAAAATGTCTTTAGACATTATTATCAAGTGTTCCCTAGGGACAGACTCACCAACCCCTGCCCCGGGAAGAGCCAGTGTCTGGGAACTGCAGGCAGGTCAGGATTTTTAGCAGCTCGGGTGACTGCTGTGTGTTTAGAAACCAAACTTGAGCCCATGTTAGAGTGGCCCCAGGGGGCCTGTAAAGCCGCTGCTGGGCCCACCCCCAAGTGTCTGGGAGGGGCCTGAGAATCTGCATTTCCCCAAGTTCCTAGGCGACAGGCTGCCAGCCGCTATGGGGACCACACATTTGCCGCGGGTGGAATCCTGATTAGATCCACTTCCCTTTTTCAGCAAGAACATTTATACGCGGGGATTCCCACTGCCTGTGGCGTCACCTCAGGAGTCTTACAATGCCTGCTTGTCCCTCCTTAGGGGTGTTAATTTTAACATTGGCAGTCTGTCACCTCCATAAAGTCCCCAGCGGCTTCTCACCTCATAGCTTTGAGATTGAGCCACTGATTGATTGGCCTTGTCTGGGGCCATCGTTTGCCTGTGGCCGGAGGATGGTAACATTCCACTCCCGCCATGCCATTCGGTGTGTGTTTAGGACTAGAACTGCGTTTCACCAAAGCATTGCTCCCCCCTCCCTTAGGTTGGGCCGGGGGTCGGTGG